TGGTCACGCCGCAATCCCTTCTCCTCCATTCTCCTCTCGGGATCTTGGGCATGCATGCACACGCGCCCGGCGTGAGTTTTAAGCCACCGGGTCCGGGACGCGAACCACGGTCGACTACGTGGGAGTCCAGCGACATAGCCATTACGCTAACTGCTGGTTCCCCTACTGCTATATTTTTAAAGTTTATTTGTTTCGTGAGAGTGAGCGACAAAGACTAGCGCCCTAAACAGGGCCTCACACCTTGACCCCCCTGCCATGCAGCCTTCCCAGCTAGCCACGATCACAGGCATGTACACCTCAAGTGTACAGGTCAACTGGGGAACTAAACTTCTGATTTTCCATATGGATTCAGCACTGCTTAAACAACTAAGTTTTACTGCCACGCCACCAAGCTAGCCCACCACTAATGTTTTTATATCAAGTCTATTTGTACAATGACCTTAAACAGCGCTACCAGATTACAACTGGTAATACCATTACCAGATTACCCCACTGAGACAGAGCTTGAGAACTGACAAATCTTCCAGACTCAAAAGAACAAGGACATCTATTTTGTCATACTCATCTCTGGAACTCAACCACATTGCACTATGCCTGCCACATGATAGGTGTTCAATAAATGCTTATTTTTTAATCCATGGCTTATTTTTGCCTCCTGCTAGCACCAGCTACCAGGTTTAAATATTAAACCAACCCAAAACAGGGAAATCTCACTATTTGCCATCTGGCGTCTCTAAGCATTTACAATATAAACAGAGGATTTACTAAACATATCAATATTTATAATGAAATCTATGGATAACATTTATGTCACTAAAATATTTCAAGCACTATAAAAATTAACTGGTGTATATTAATGACAATAATTCTACCTACTGAAAAGCACTGACTAACCTTTAGTCAAAATTTCTATGGGGACCTACTTGGAAGTATCAAATGCATTAGATAGCAATAAAATTACAGGTGTAGGGGTCACTAGGTGGCGTGGTGGTTAAGGGACTGGACTTCTACATGCCAACCACAGTTCGAGCACCAGACCCAGCAGCTTGCTTTCTCATTTTCCCTCTCCTCCTTGCTCTGGTGAGCACACATGCCCTATAGCAAATTTAAAAATAATATAATGATAATAAATAAAATTAAATATTTAAAAAGCTGCTAGGAGAAGGGCCAGCAGGTAGCGTGGTGAAGGCAGCTGGACTCCCACATGGCTGACTGCGGTTAGAGTCTTGGACCTGGCATCTTGCTCTCACTTTCCTTCTCTCTCTTTGTCTCTCTCTGGTCAAAAAATAAAAATAAAAATAATGACAATGAATAAGATTAAATAATTCTTTAAAAAAATTTCTAGGGACAGCACATGGCATAGTGGTTTAGGTACTAGACTCCCCACAGGCTAATTGTGGTTCGAGTCCTGGACCTGGCAGCTTGCTTTCTCACTTTCTGTCTTTGTTCAGTCCACATGCCCTATAGCAACTTTAAAAATAAAAATAATAATTAAAAATTAAATGAATAATTTTTTAAAAGAAATTTTTTTTTGAAGAGATTTTCACTGTAGGGTGCATGCGCTCGCCAGACAGACAGAGAGAGACATAGAGACACAAAGCGAGAAATCACCCCCCAGAGGGGATGGTCACGCCGCAATCCCTTCTCCTCCATTCTCCTCTTGGGATCTTGGGCACTCACGCACACGTGCCCGGCGTGAGTTCTAAGCCACCGGGTCCGGGACACGAACCGCGGTGGACTACGTGGGAGTCCAGTGACATAGCCATTACGCCAACTGCTGGTTCCCTAAAAGAAATTTTTTAAGAAAAAAATTACAGGAATAGTAAAAGGGGCCCTGAAAGAGAATGAAGATCCTAGTCCAAGATCTGGTGATCAGACATATAATGTTGGGCAATTCACTTTTCCTTCCTTGTTTTTTTTTTTTTTTTTTTTTTTCTTAAGGGGGTGGGCGCCCACCAGAAATCACCAGACAGACAGAGAGAGGCAGAGAGACAGAAAGCGAGAAATCACCCCCCAGAGGGGATGGTCACGCCGCAATCCCTTCTCCTCCATTCTCCTGTCGGGATCTTGGGCATGCACGCACACGCGCCCTGCGTGAGTTCTAAGCCACCGGGCCCAGGACACGAATCGCGGTCGACTACGTGGGAGTCCAGTGACATAGCCATTACGCTAACTGCTGGTTCCCACTTTTCCTTCTTTGAGGTATAATTAAACAATTGGCAAAGACAAGAGAGCTGAACTCCTAATCTGGAGACTTTTCATAACTTTTTTGGGGAGGAGGTTTTTTTGCTATAGGGCACATGCACTCACCAGAAAGACATAGAGAGACAGACAGAAAGCGAGAAATCACCCCCCAGGGGGATGGCCACGCCACAATCCCTTCTCCTCCATTCTCCTCTTGGGACCCTGGGCATGCACATGCACCCGGCTTGAGTTTAAGCCAACAGGTTGAGGACTATCGAACTGCAGTTGACTACATGCGAGTCTAGTGATGTAGCCATTACACCATCTGCTGGTCCCCAGTCATAACTTTTTTAAATGATTCATCCACCAAGATTCTATAATTCAGATTTTTAAAACTGTGTCGAATTTGACATTCTGAATGTTATAGTTGGCTACATTATCCGACAATCAAGAAATTTAACACATCTGCTAAGACTATATAAAGACTAGTAACATACATATTATTTTTACCATCTTATATTAGAAGGGAACAGTAGGAGAAAACCAAAGGAGAAACAAGAGTGTCCCATAATCAGGCCCACTTTGTCAGCTGTGCTCACAGGAACCACACTGACCTCTATATCACAAACCACTGACATGTCAACATGCATACATATATAAACATATGTATATACCATAGGGATATATTTAATGTATTGATATACACAAAGGTGTATGAACTGTAAAACATTTTTAATTATAAAACCAATGCTTGCTTATAAGAAATTCAATTGTTACATTAGGTCACAAATGAACAAAATAGTCCTCTACTCCTCTTCAGCTCCACAGGCAACCACTGTTGACCTTCTTCTTGTGTATTCTTTAAGAAATGATCTGAGGCAATACAAACATACTTATGTATGTTCGTGTGTGTATAAATCTTTGTAACCTAAGCTGTTGTCATTTGATTGCTAGAGGGATAAAAGCTCAAGCACCAGCTTCATAAGCATGTTAAATATACTGAAATGTAAGGGAACTTCAAAAAATGTAAAGGAAAAATGGTATTAAAGTACGAGTTTATTGTGATGCAAAGTTTTTTTTTGAAATCCATGCTGTTTTTCATTGATACGCATCTTCCATGAACTGTAGGAAGACCCCCCACATTGAAACTGATAGATAGCACAGGTCCTGGCACTGGGGAGGATACTGTTCAGAAGTGTGAGGTGAATCGTTTTTGTGTTTGGAGGCGATATGGAGCAACTGCACTGAAAGAGCGGTGGGCAAGAAGCCAGACACCCTGGGTTCTAAGCTAACTAGTCGGGTAGCCGCAGGCAAGCCATGAAATGTTCCTGAGCCATAGCTTCTGCTTTTGTAAAACAAGATTTGAGCTAAGATCCCTTCCAACTCTAAAAGGTTATAGTTCTAAAATGGCCGTCTGTAATAGCGTTCTCTTGAACTGGCTGTAACAAATGTTACTAAGGAAAAAAAAAAAAAGAGAAAGAAGAAACGCAATCACGATGTCCAGTCTTCCAGAGTCAATTTCTGAGTCACGATTATCAAGGCACGGTTGTGACAGAAGTAATGACATAACTATCTGCATGCAAAGTAGTAGATCAGTAAAATCTGATAGGCTTTTACGAAGCGTGACCGACGTTTTTCTTTTGGAGGGGTTAAGGAGGGTTTTTACTGTTTCAGCAATAACCACTCCCCCTCCCTGAAAAGAAAACAATTTAAGTGTATTATGAAGTGAAAATAATGACACTCAGAAGTCGAACTGACATTTTGTTCCGCAGACTGTGCTGGGGAGGCGAGTAGGGGAGCAAAGGTCAGAAAGAATTCCTGGCTACTTTCCTCTTCCGGAAGCTCTTTGGCCCCCTATTCTTTCAGTTTCACACGCCCTCACCAGACACACTCCACCCCGCTCCATAAAGCCACAGGCATCGCATAGGGCGGGGGGTGAAGCCCTTGGATCACAGGGCAAAAAAAAAAAAAAGTTCTTTGACTCGATTTACCTTAGGTGTCACCGGGTTAAGGGAGGCGGCCCAGCGGGCCTGAAGCCACCCACCCACGTCCTCCTTCCGCAGTCCGGGGAACCTGGGCAAGCGGCCCGGGTCCCGGCCCCTCCGCGGGCGGGCGCGTCCTCCCCCCCC